CTTGTCGAAGTAGACCTTTCGTCGGAAGTATTGTGGGTCTCGCCCCTTGTACACAAGATGGACTCGTCCAAAGGTATACTTATACTACGAAGAGATAGCGTGACAAAAACGTCGACACAGGGTGTTCACTCAGAGTTATACGACAATCCGGAAAGAGAGATAATTACGGCTTCACATACAGAGACTTGTACATATACTTTTCTACTAACCCGCATTCCTGGACTACTAATCTTCATTTCAACTTTGTATTCTTACGTTAAATACACATATTTTTCTATTTCAATTACTGGCGTGTTTATTTATTTGTACCGGATTCCATCCCCGGAATCCACAACAGGAAGTCTCCAGAAAACTAATAATCACAGAATGAGAAATTATCAAACAAAAATATTTAGACTGCTACAAATATGTAGTCTATATAGGGACTCACCTCAGATCATGCCGAAACAGAGTTTACACTCTAGATGCAGGGATGATTACCTAGCCGAGAGTGGATATCTCCGATTCACCCGATGTCATGATATGTTCAAGTGTCTTCGACACTTGAACATATCATGGACACGCGTAGGAAAGAATCGTATGAGGAATATAGATGTATGAACACCCACCCTAGAGACACGAGATTCAGAATCTACGTTCGGAGAAAACCATAGGTACGCACGAACACACACACACGCACACACACGCACACACACATACACGCACACACACGCATGCACGCGCGAGCGCGCGCACACACATACACAGTAGACGATGGTAATTATTGAATTCAGAAGTGAAATCAAATAGAATGTTACGCATGAGATATTAAGTATCTGAAAAACGAGACTGAAGATAAAAATTACAGGTTTTTTTTTTCAAAAATCGGCCGTAAAAATGTTGCGAGAAAAGCAGACGATATATCGACTTGCAATGGTAGAAAAATATTGTTTGTGGATATTCACAATTTTACTTGTTATTAATATACAGTTAAAAAGAAATCCTGGTTGACGTCTAAATCAACTCGCCAGATATTTTGAATGATGTTTACTGGTTCAACTTCCGTTGCCTAATCAATAAAAAAACGTTGTCACGTTAAGGCAGTTTCACAAGCATCGGAAATATGTCTCGTCGGAAATTTATCCTCTCTTTTTAATCCAACGATTTGACAGTTGTTGGGTAAATGTCAGAACGACTTTGGTGTTGCTATAAAAATGAAAATAAGAGGGTTTTTTTTAATAATAATAATATTAATAAAAACATTTAATTTTTTACTTGATTCGGGTAGAATATTGGACATTTTAATCTCTTATTACTGAGTAGACGAGACGTGAATCCTTGGGTCACTGACAGTTCAAGTTATAAAACATTGAAGCTGATTTCAACAGAAGAAATGATCTGTTTGAAGAAGGTTGAAATAAAAATATTTGTTAGAGCCCTCGGACTGCTTGGAAAAGATTCCAATAAACTCATTGAAGGAATCCCTGGAAGCCCATGCCTTAAAGAAATACAAAAAATTGTATTCACAAGTACAGCCCACATCTTACGAAGGGCTTTATCTATGTAAAATATGTGCGATATTTTTGGGTTTTTCAAAACTGCTTAGTGGAAAATGTCATGATGTCATTTCTGACCTTAGGTCTCTTGTTGGGACCCGGAAAGAAATGAGTATACACCAGTAACCAAAGGAATAATAATAATAATAATAATAATAATAATAATAATAATAATTGCCATACAAGACAACAACCTTTGGTTTACTGACATACATTGAAACAACAAAGGATTGGATGATACAATTAGTCAAACAACACGAAAACTAAAAGAAAAAATATTCTATCATGAAAGAAGGTTGTAAATACAAACGAGTTTTACATTTAGTAGATTCTATAGAAAACGAAAACAGAACCCAAGAACCAACTTTTACAACAAAAATTACGAAAAAGAAAGTCAAGGATAAAAATCTTGAACAAATGAAAAAACGCTGGCAAGACAAACCTCTACATGGCCAATATCCAGAACGAGGCTAATAAAGCCGATGTTGATAAAATTATCGATGGTTACGAGCATCTGTATTAAAGGCTGATGCGGGAGGTTTTATTCTTGGAGCGCAAAACCAGAATCTTTTCACTGGAACCTTTCAGGAAAATATCATACATAATAGTGTGGCACCAAAATGCAGGTTCTCTGACAAATATCAGGAAACGATAGACAATCTAATCTCAGTATGTTATGTACTTGCGCCAAATGAATATAAAAATTGTCATGATAGAGTGGGGCAATACTTACACTGAAGCAATGTATAAACACTTTGGAAAAGATGTTAATAAACACTGGTATGAACATCACCCAGCACCTATTTCAGAAGTAGAAGACATCACAAATTTATAGTATTAAACATTTTTAGAGACAGAAAGATTGAAGCAAATAGGCCGGACATAAGTATCAAAAGTCGAAAAGAAAAAAAAAACTTGGCTACTAATTAATATGGCTTGACCAGCGTACTGTAGCATAGTAACCAAGGAATTTGAAAAACTATCGAAGTATAAAGACCTGGAAATCGAAATTAAAACAAATATGGAAATTGAAAAGAAAAATAGTACCACTCGTAATAGGTGCACTTGGAATGATAAAAAGGGAACACAGCGATACACTGAAAAACTCACTGGAAATCCCAACTTAAGAGAAATATAAAAACTTGTCTGGATAAGTACAGTCCAGAGACTAAGAAGAAATTTTTCCATGTAACGCTAATGATGTTATGGGAGTTAGAAAAACAAATCATGAAATGTAGCCATAACAACACACTACTACCTGCCTTAGGTTTTCCCACAGACTTGGTCAGTAGTTTGATCATAGCAGAAATCAAAATATAATGATAATGAAGATCGAAGCTCTGGGCCTCGTGAGAAAAGGAATGGACAATTTTACTAACAGTGTCTCAGGTAACGTCAACATAAAGTTGCCCAGAATATCGTCCTACTAAGAACATCCCAATTAAATGACAATTCTTCTATAGGGCCTAAGGACCATAGTTTGAAACCGGTTCTACAGGATACAAAGCAGGGAACATAGTATACACAAATATTAATAATAATAATAATTGACTATATTGTATCAGGTTGCACAGCGTTAGCACCCACAGAATATAAAACTCGGCATGATAGAATGGACCAATATATACACTGGATAGCATATAACTTTTACGGGAAGGAAACTGCAAGAAACTGGTGTATATATATATGGTTGGGACCCAGAAGGAAATATGTATACGACAGAAATCCAAGGAAATAAGAAGAAGAACTAGAAATAGCTGTGAAAATTCCACGGTTTTCCTATTTTAATTTTTTGATGAATATTAGTTCTTAAGCTAATGATTGAATAAGTTCATGGAGAGTTCTAAGACAATAAAATATCCGTAGAAATTCCACTATCATATCGTTAAATATTTGAGCTTAACAACTTTAACATTTCAATAGCAATCATAAATATGAACGCTGGTCGTTATTTTAAGAAGTAAGGTAGTTCAAATGAAAAGATTTGAATTCAAATTTTCCATTTCACTGAAAAAGACATTATACGCTTCTATCTTTAGTTCTTTCTTTCTACTTTTTTTCTTTCTTTCATTTACTCAGTGAAACCAAGTAGTGTCTCTGATATGTCTCCGTGTTGTCACGCAAGCTAAACGGAATAGTCCATTATTAGTTAGGTATTGGCAAGAGACGCTAAACACATCGAAATTTCATTTCTTTCACTCTCTCAATGAAATCAAGTAGCACCTCTGATATGCCTTTTTCGTCTTTCCACGAGATCAAAATAAATAGAAAAATAATTAAAAAATACATACAATAGAAAAAAAATACATACATTTATTTTCTATTTTTTTTCAAACAAATGGAAAAAAGGAAGTGACGTTTCACATGCGGCTTGTTTACAAAAAGAATTGTTCATAACCATTTTGGTTCGCATCAGTCGAGGTGTAACTATATGTACCGAAACGAAGTTGCATCTTTGTAGTGAGTAAATTGTTTTTGTCTATATGAAAAATTATAATAAATAATTATTGCTCTACTATCAGTATTGAGCCCTCTTTTGAATTAATACTGTGAACGTTAGAACTTATATATTATTTTCGTTCTCATTACATTCGGATACATATATATATATATATATTGTCACTACAGAATGAACTCTTCCTAACACTATGTATACTACGCCTCTCAAGAGAGAGGGTTGAATCAAGCCGAGAAGCTCGGCTTGACGGTCGAACTCTCTGCCTCTGAGCAGAGAGGAACCCGGACGAGGCTCCGCCGAAGGGCAGTCTCTCGTTCGGGGACGTTGACCAACCCGATCCCGTTTATACGGGTTCTACGGGCATTTTTTGGCCGAGCCTCGGGAAACCCATGTTAAACTCGGCCTTGTGCCACATGCAACCCTCGTGGTTTACCGAATCGAGTCGAACCGATAGAAGTTCACTCCAAACCAGACTGACAGTCATACTAACACCTTCCACACCTTGTATTATTATTTCGTGTAATATACCTTCGTTATTTCTACTCTTGTGTTCGTGTTGTTCTTCCTTGGTCCTAACCTGGACCACAACACACACACACACACACACACACACACACACACACACACACACACATATATGTATAGAAGTTGACTGAAATCGAGATGCCAGGTTAGGACCAATAACATTACAGATTCCTCTTTGGATTTTATCAAGGATCACTAAATATAGCACCAGACCAGACTTGGCAGCAATATTCAAAGCATGGACGAATGGTAGACATGGAGATTTGTAAGATAGACTCTAGAGAGAAAAATTGTCTATGCTTAATTTTAATTTTTAAATTTAATTCTTTTAAAATTTAATGCAAATAAGTTTCATGCTAATAAAAAATTATCTTCAAGTGATGTTAATCTAAAATCGGAAAAAATTAACCGTCAGAATTAAAAATCAAGTGGAACCACAAAAAAATCTTCATTAATATTTGAAACTTTGTATTTTTCCCCAGGGATCACGATGACGAGTATTCAGTGTTCGAAGCCGCTAAGAAGCTGAATGAAGTGTCTGGATTCAAGGGATTGGGACGCTTTTTCAAACAAGTCGCCCAGTCTGCCAGAAAAGGAAGCAGTGGCAGCGTTGATGACTTTTTGGGTTGTGTCAATATTCCGGCCAAGGTAAGTTCAAGCATTTCAAATTATATTTAAGAATATTATATTTGTTTTAAAAGTATTTTCCTTTGAAGAGAGCAATTTCAAAAAGATGTTATTTAATTTGTACTTTGTTAGATAATTACTGGTCGATAGACGGATATCATTCGAAAAAAACATATTTCACAAGAAAAATCATTTCCTTTAACGAGATAAATCTTTCTTCAGGTTAAGCATCTATTACCCAGGTGAAAATAAACACACACACACATATACACACACATACTCTTTATAGATTTTCGTTAGAGTCTCTGTAAGTTGTCAAAGTATTCTCCATTGAATGCGTGTTCCTTTTGAAGATAGTCAATATAGACAATTACTTTTGTATCCCAAAAAATGAGGCCATCACCATCCCTGCAAATGAAACGATCTTGTCCTTCTTTGAAGCCGGTGATGAGGGGGTGTTTCCACTGCATGGATTGTCTCTTTGTCTCAGGCTCAAAGTGATGAACCCAACACTCATCCTGGGTTAAGAAACGTTCAATGAAACCACCTGGATCTGTCTCAAACAATATCAGATTTTCCCGGCTGATGCGCTTTTGATCACACACTAAACAGTAGACAGATTGCGATGGGTTGTCATTTTTTTTTAATTTCGCGCATGCGCATTCTTTGTTTTTGATTTTGTCGACTACACAGTATAGTAGGGTCAGTTGGACACCATCTGTGAGACAAAGAGCACCATGATGCAATTCACTCCGCTAGAAATTTGGAAAGGGCATGCCGTACTGCTTGGAATTCGCTCTGGAAGCTCCAGTACGAATATTTCAGAGTGTTTGGGTGTCAATCTGAGGACAGTGCACAGGATTCGGAAAGAGTTGGATGAATCTAATTTTGCTTACGTAGTTACGGGAACTGAGAAAACTCACTATCATCGTTCTGATAAGAAAAGAACTCCTGAATTTGTTGATGAGGGCCTCAGACTCAACACGGAAGCCGACATAAAGTGTCTTGAGGAGGTAGTGTTTCTCTGAGTTAAGTGGGTGGCTGCTGGAGGACCCATATCTGGCAACAGGACTCTACAACATGTCACACAAGCAGGAGAACACAGTCATGGCTGTCAGACAATTTCTGCGACCACATCACCCTTTACATTTGGCTACCTAACTCCCCAGACTGCAACCCCCTTGATTATTATGTGTGTGGCGCAGTTGAGCGATAGACCAACAAAACTCTTTGTAACACCAAAGATGAACTGAAGGCAAACATTATGGCAGAATTCACCAATTAAACAAGGAGGCCGCCCAGAAGAGCTGCAGGTAATTACAAAGTTGTCTGAAGACTATGATTGAAACCAATGGCGATTTGATTGAATAATTTTACTTCTTGGGATTTCAAGATATTTTTGTATAATTCTGGTAAATACAGTGTAACCCGGATATAAGAGACCCGGATATAAGAGAAACCCGGATATAAGAGAGATTTTCTCTGGTCCCAAATTAGAGCCTGTGTTAATGTATATAGAATAGACTAAACCCGGATATAAGAGAAACCCGGATATAAGAGACTTCTTCTCCGGTCCCGACAACTCTCTTATATCCGGGTTACACTGTATATCTGTTAAAATGAGATGTCAGTGTTATTTTCCTTTTGGCGTCATTTAGACGACAATTTATCCATCGCATCCTGTATATCTGTTAAAATGCGACGCTAGTGTTACTTTCATTTTTGCGCCATTTAGACGACAATTTATCCATCTCGCCCTATATATATATATATATATATATATATATGGTACCTGATACATCATTGTAGAAAAATGCAATAGATTTAAGCTATATTACTTAAAGTAAAAATCTAACTAAATTTAGTCCTTTTTTTCAGGTCCAAATGTTATATTTCTAGATTCATATATAAGAGTGTCTCATTAAGACATATTATATATAAGGGTGTTTCATTAAGACGGATCAAAGTCAGCAGTAAATAAATCAGTGTTATTAGTGAAAATTTATTTATTTCTCTATTGGATCATGTTATTCAAGTCATGGCCATTATGTGTGAAAAATAATGTCCGACAAATCTGAAAGAAAAAGATAAAAAAAAGATTAGACGCTTAAATTAATTCACATTTAAAATCGGTCTAAGTTATTGGAACACCTTTTATTAACCAATCAGCAACGTCATATGATACGCGCGGTATTCTTTGAATTTGCAGACAATTGACATTTAATGTTTGCTAGAAAATTTTGGAGGATCTCTTCAGAATATGATCAACAACATTTTCTTTCCTTAAATTGGATATTTAAAAATTGGGAAAACATTTATTAACCAATAAATTTATGAGATGAATAAATATAATTTTTCTTTTCTGGAGCCGACGTTTCGTTATAAAAGTGATTAATTTTAGTTTGCTAATTAGTTTTTCAGTTAACCTTTGACCAGGGTGATCGTTCGTTTGTTATATAAAAATTAATTTTTCAAACCTAAATTTACTCACATTTTCTAATATTTATTCGAGTATCTTATATTACAAAAAGGCTTACCGATATTGAGTCATAAAAAATATACAAACCGAGTTTTTTGTCCACAACAGATATTAGGATTAGTATCAAGATGGCTCACTTCCTATCTAGCTGCCGACCGCTACAAATTACACATGTAGACGCATCCTGTTTGTTCTATACTAACGCAGTTGATTCGGTAAAGATGACAACATAAAAATATTTTCTGTGAAGTTGTAACGCAAACAATCTTTGTAATTTAATATTATATATATATATATATATATAAATTCATGAATCATTCATACAAAAAACAAATATAGAGATTAATGATTTAAATGGCGAGAATACTTCGTCGCAAACAATATAAATAAGATACATCAACCCCGAACCTGTATTTAAATCATTAACCTCTATATTTGTTTTTTGTATGAATGATTCATTTATTTATAAATTATATTTGCACCTTTTAATTGAAATTAAAATAACTGATCCAACGTGCAACTCTCGGATAATGATGTGACATTCCTGTAATTATTGAACAATATAGTTCATGCCATATTCACGGAAAATCTACCAGTAAAAAAGAATTCTCTTATTGCTATATTAGTACAAAAACGCAGAACCTTAAAATTTAAATTCAAACTCAGCGTTGCGACCGCACGTTCCAAAACAATAACACATTTCTCATAGCATTTTTTCGGATTGCATCTCTATTTTCGTTGTCCTCTTATTACCGAGAAGTAAAAACAAGAACAAAATCTACTTCCATACCTGATGATGTCTGTAGGAACAGACGAAAGCTTGTAAAAAATTAAAATGACTTTATGCAACTGGAATTTATAAACGGGGATCATATCATTCATATACAGGTTCGGGGTTGATGTATCTTATTTATATTGTTTGCGACGAAGTATTCTCGCCATTTAAATCCTTAACATCTATATTTGTTTTTTGTATGAATGATTCATAAATTTATAAATTATATTTGCACCTTTTAATTGAAATTAAATATATATATGTGTGTGTGTGTGTATGTATATATAAATAAAAAGAAAGAACAGTAAGATATATAATCCGGTGTTCTTATAGATATTTTTATTTTTACAAAATAGTGCGCAATGTAAATTTACAGAGCATTAATATTATAAATTAATTGATTTAAAATATGTTTTTTCGCTACACAGTTCTATCCATGTTTCAAAAATGGGCTGAAAAGCTCGAATTTAATTTTGTAATTAAATTAAAGACATTAGTTCCATTTCATCCTCAAGCGAATCGGAACTTTCAGCTTCCATTTTGAAAACTTGGTTAGAACTGTGTAGCGAAAAAATATTTTAAATCAATTAATTTATAATATTATATATATATATATATATATATATATATATATATATATATATAAAATAAATCCTAAAGAGCCGGAGAAAACCTGCCGAGGTCACCTAAACGGATCTTCAGGATCTTAAGGCACTCGACGATTATTTTCGCCCTGTTCGGATGTTTTTAGTTCATTCTATTTTTTTTACAAATTTTTCCCGGGTACCGATTTGTTTTCACATATCTACAAGTAGCGCTATCCGAGATTTTTTTCCAACCGAGTATTAACATATATATAGATTTTTCGTTTCAACCATGGGAAGTAAAGTCTGATGATCTGCAGTCCTTTAAAAGGGCTGTGGTGAAATAATTTATTACATAGAACCTTAAAGTGGTCTGTTTTTATTTAAACTATTTGCTCTGGATTTACATTGAGCTCTTGGGTCTACCATACGGATTATCTAGTTTTTCATAAACCAAATATATATATATATATATATATATATATATATATATATATATATATATATAATACTAGTGGTAAATTAAATATACGCATACATATGCAAAATTTATATGCATACGTTATGAGTCTACCGATTGAATAGAATTTTATTATAAACAATTGTCTTGTAAATGGAATTTTTAAAGCATTCTGAATGTAAAAATAAAGAAAAAAGTGTGCAACACAATAAGAAACACTACCTGTCAAAAAAAAGTGAAGTTTTGTTGAAATCAGTTGAAAAATGTAGGAAATCCAATCCCATATATAAACGAACACACACACTCAAACAACCTGGGTTTTATAAGTATAACTCGATATGAGTTGTCCCCCTTTCATTCTCGCGATAGCGATGCCTCTTAATCGTGTTTTCAAAGTGATTTCGTGCAAAAACAATTGTGTTTTTCCAATTTTTGGCGCTGTCGGAACTACCGCAAGGTAATTTTATGTAGTCCTGTGAAGTTTTGTTGAAATCGGTTGAAAAATGTAGGAAATTCGATCCAATATATAAACGAACAGACAGACACACACACACACACAACCTGGGTTTCATAATCAGTGATTATTTCTCCATTTTTACGTTTTATTTCAATATATTCCTGTAGAAATGTCCTTGATTTGTTCCCAGATATTTATTTTTCAATTTTATTAACTTTTTAAAATTTTCAAATTAACTGCTGCGATTCTAAATAGCAAGGTTACCC